TACATCAATTGTTTCGAGTTCCAGCAGACAGTGTTACCTCAGCGTTATTACGGAGCCAACCCAAACACACACACACACACACAATGATAAGATAAACTAGTTTTTAAAGAGAGCCAGAAGCTAAATTACCTCAACATTTCCTTAATTTAGACAGCTCAAGTGCACAAGCGTCCGGGTAGGATTCAATTAGAAATAAACGATCTCGGTTACAAGAAAAATTGAATGCCCGGAAAGGAGAAAAAAATTACATGCTAAACAAGAAGCTTTAAATGGAGAAGAGCAAGATCTGGAGAATCAAATGTTTCCTCGCCCTCTTTTAAGGAAATAATCATTCCCCTGCTACTGTTCAGACCTCTTGCAAACACAACCACGCTAAATCCTCCAGAAAGCGTCAACGAGACACTAAGTTGGTTGCAAGTGGCACTTTGATATATACTGTGTTGACCTAGATCATATAGAGTGATTATAACCATGTTGGACCGCCATTTGGCAGGAGCTGCACAAAAGGTTTTACTGTAATAGCTTTCCTCCTCTTTCAAGCCATCCATTCTGCAGTGACACATACAACCTTATGTTCTCCTGAAAGGTGGGCTGGCAATCGCCCGGCACACACACACACACACACGCATACATACCGCTACAGTACAGTAAAGCAGGCCTGTTGCATCCAACAAATGTGTGATGCGACAGGTCAAAGAAAGAAAGGTGACACCAGGTTATAAATATATATTTTTCTTCTTTTTCTTTTTTTCTTCTCTTCTTTCTAGATCGACTTATTATATTGGCTTTCCCTTAAGGGCAGTTTTATCCAGTGTAAAAGTGACTGATTTGCTGCGCAGCCTCTAATGCCACATTGGGTAAACTGAGAAGAAGTGAAATGATTAGCACATTGACAGGTTAGTTTGGTGACAGAAAATGAACAAGTAACTACTTAATAATTGATCATCTGTGCCATTTTTCAAGCAGAATTATAACTTATATCTTTCTTAAAAACATTTTAAGCTATATCGTTTTATTTGTGAAGACCTTTCTCTTGTGCTTGGATTTTGACTGCTGATCAGCTGTAACACATAGCTCCTCAGAAAATATAAGCTGACACTGGCAGGCCAATATCGTTGGGTGAGTTTAGCTATTTGCTAATTCATCAGTACCAGCCTTTATGACAAATAATACATGGAAATTTTAAAAGTAAAGAAGAAACACCCTTTAACATCTTATGAGCGTTGACATCAGCACACTCAGCAACTTCCTGTTAGCAACACGTGTTTGGAGTGACACAAACACAGCAACCAGTGTAAATGAGTAAATAAATAACTACACATAACAAGTGTTAAGAAAACATGTTTATGTTTTGTGTTTGCGAAAGAAAAAAAATATCTGCCGATATATCGGAATGTCCGATTTTATCACATCAGAAAAATAATAAGACTGAAATCTTTCACTAATTTAAAAGTTCTCATTAGTTTCATCTCTTTTAAGTTCCAATTCCTGTAAAATTTTCAAACACTCAAAGAAACTAATATTCAAACTAAAACAATCAGACAACCTACTCGGTGGAGATATTTAAGTGTGTCTATAAAGGTGTGTCATTTCAGAATATTATATATATGGATTTGCTACTTTTCTCTAATCAGTATCGCTGAAAGTGGATCATTTGGGTGATCTGACCTGTTGTTTTAACAAAACAAAATTCTGAAGATGTCTCCTGAGGCAATTGTTTGATTTTATCTTATTGTGTTTTTATCATTAATATTATTTTTTAAACTACATAAATTAGCTTAATTCCATAATTAGTCATTTGTGGCATTGAAAAAGTGATGATAAGGAAAATGTTGTAGAAAATGTTGTAGAAAATCTAAAAATCTGAGATGTTGCCCTAAAATGCTCTATGAAAGGACGGATTCCCCAGGCTTGTGCTCCCACATGTCATCTTTGGTGTTCCAACAAGAGACAGAAGCCACGTTAATATAACAAAAAAGAGTGCAAAAAAAGGAAACCCACCTTGATTTCCATGACTCTGCATACAAAGCCTTGCATTTATTTTACCACATTTTAAATTTCAGACAAACCTACTTTAATTTCTGGCATTGAATCAGACAAACTGCATCCCGATTAATCACAGGTGTCTGCTACACACAGTGTTGGTATATACTCAAAAAAAAACAACAAAACAACTTATTAAAGGAAAGCAAATCCACTGGTGTTTATGTGCTACAATGTCCCTGCAGGGAATATCACCATAGCAGTAAGTGGCAGGCATTAGAGTACTTACACAGCCCGGCACAATAGAAGCAGCAACGCAGCTTTCAAAGCACAATGTTACTGAGGCAGGACACAATATCGTACTACCTGCCATCAGTTCAGTGGGCTAGCTATTGAGTTTCAGGGTGTGCTGATACTGTAATCGTATACACTTTATCGGGCTTGTTCTGTCACAAGTGTTTTGTTTAAGGGATTTCAGATGGGTGAGGGGGTATGGGCTGTCTCATTAAGGGTGAGTCAATAAGATGTAACCACGATCCCACAAACGTCTGCGGATAGATAAGCATTTCTCGCCGTACCAAAATACTTGGCATGGTCAGCCTGAGCGAGTGGAAAAGGGCTGTTACTTAACAGAGTTTCATAGCAGCACTTCCACGATTGTTTTTCTTTTTCTTTCTTTCTTTCGTCCTCATTTCCATTTTTATGATTGAAACGGGATTGTGTAATAGTTGTGTGATAATAAATGTCTTGTTCACAGTGCCAATTACATGCTGGAAAGCTGCATACAAATGGGGATAATTACAATACATAACGGCATTTTGATTATTTTTGAGAGTGCACAAAGTTCATCGTATTCATCTTGCTTCTCGTTCGGAGGCTTTTTTGTAGCCCTGACTGGTGTCCCACTATGTGCGGACACCTCAGACCATTTCACAGCTTTCAATGCCTCTGTGGCTCTTGAAATCACTCAATATCACGTTGGCAAAGGATTTTAAAGACATAACATTCTTAGAGCTTATTAAAAATCCCAGATTCTTTACACAGTAATGAGCATGCACTTGGACTATTGTTCATTTAATCTTTATAATGAGTTTTTACACTATAATTAGTGCAATATTGGCTCATTTGCTATTATATAGAGATAATAGTTTCGCAGCATACTTATGTTCTTCCCAAACATTGTGTTTTCCATTCTTGCTCACTTGTTTGTGATTCACATTAATGTTTAACTAACTAACCAAAGACAACTGATACCTGGTGAACAACATATCACCTGTACCTTCATCTATGATGCAGTGAAGCCAGCAGCAGCACCAGAGCCGACCGTCATACTTCTGGTAATAACTTATAACATTATTTTTTAGGGATCTGGAGATCAAAGCAGACTCTGTAGTATGGACACAACTGTAATATTATGCAACTAGAAGAGGTAGAGACGCTACTCTTGATTTTCCCTATTTTTCCTTTCTAGCAGGACCCTGTGAAGTTGGTAACTTCAAGGAAAAAAAGTGTACTTTTCCTGAAGCCACTTGGTCATTTTTGGACGTTTTGCTGACGCCCCAAAATCGAGCCAAGTTCAGAACAGTCGTGTCAAGGTGGTTCGATATAACACCTTTTGCAACTGGTGCCAGCTAAGCCTCAGAAAACAGCTGTGGCATTTTAAAAAGGAGCCTCTTGGTGAGATTTAGATGCTGCTGAGCCCTCATCAACGCCTTCCTGTTCCTTTTTTTTTTCCTGTCCTGTAAAAACTTCACCTTGACAGCAGTGGGAGGAAATGCTGAAGGAGGGGAGGAAATAACAAAGGTGGCAACTAACTTAATAATCATTTTAAAAAACAAACAAAAACCTCCTAGGTCCATCGGTACACTCAGTCATGATTTAAGAACTAGATTTCTCAGTGTCACTTTTAAAAGAGTACTCGGTGTGCTGCGGGGGAACATCATCAGCAATCATTATCATCAACAATCCGGTTTAACACTTTCCAATTTATCTTTGTCTGCCTTATCTTTTCCTTCTGTCCAAACTACAATAAAACTCTTTACCCTCCAACTTTGAGTAGCCTAAAGAACATCAAGTCACTGTTTTATCAGCGACTTTGTAACAAATGGCTAACTGGATCAAGAAGCCTTCATAGTTCTTTAAATTTCCCACCCCCTCCTTCTTTTCCCCGATTTTTGGGATTTTGACAGAAATACGCACATTCCACTTGTTGTTACCACTTTCACTTCTGATGTCTGTTGAGTTGTTATAACTCACTCCTACCCTCAGTTATCCCCATTTTTTTTTTGTACCCAATCAACATTTCTGTCCTCTTGATTTGCCATCTGTTGTCAAACGCAATAGCTGACTTTCTTTTAAACAAACAAACAAAATGCTACATATTTAGTCGTCTTAATACGGTGTGGAATGCACTGTGGCTGTTAGGAGAGAGATCTCTGCGAGCAGGAACATGCAGCAATGTATGAAGTGAGTGTGCTCACAGAGCCAGGTATCAGGGCCTAATAACATTAAGCTGAGCACTGAGTCTGTCTCAGAGCCAAAATATAAAAATGTCCTCATGTTCTGTGGAAAACACAAACCTCCCTGTTTCTAATCAGCGCCATTTGAATGTTTCTAACGTACTGCCTAAAACAACACCGCAACATGGAACAGGTGTGTGCGCGCGCGAGTGTGCGTTTGGTGTGTGTGTGTTTTTGGACTTGCATGCGGACGCTTGTGTGTGACCACGCGAAATAAACAAGCTTCCAGGTAAAGAAAGGAAACATCACAGAGTTGGTTATATGTGCGGTAGTTTCGCGCATTCTGTTAAAGCTGCCTAATAGATTACTGAATGACGATTCGCACACGAGTGCGCGCACCAAACGCGTAGGTTAATGTGTTCTATCAAAAATCATATCGCAGGCGTGGTCATTCACTGAAAATCTTAGGAGCAGTTTGTTTTGTCATCTGGAGCTGTCTCCGAAACCGCATGATAAAATGTGGAGAGGAGGGGAAGGGAGTAGGGGAGAAAAATCTACCTTGTGGAGGTCTATGCGTATCCTCTCCTCTCCTTTATGTGGACTCTCGGGCCACAGGTGATAGCTCGAGCCGTAGTTGGGGCTGTCTTTGCTGCTGTTGCTGCCGGTAGTCGCGGACGAGTTCCCCGCGTATGCCTGTTGTGTTACCGGGGGGGTTACGCGGGAGTCGCGGTTGTTTGGCTGGTCGCTCTGCGCGGTGATCCTCCCAGACTTATTGCGGTCTTGTTCACAGTGCTGCGGACGCTGGGGACAGAGCCCCAGTGCGCCTTGCTGCCGCTGCTGCCGCTGCTGCTGCTCTTGCTGTTGCAGCAGTGGAGCCCGATGAGTCCTACATAGCTCTCCTGAGTCGCTGGCGCAGTAGTTGATAGGCAAGCTGCTCCCCACCAGTAGCTGTTGCTGCGCTCGTAATTGTGGGATCTGTTGCTGCTGCTGCTGCTGCAGGTCCTGAGTCTGAAACTCGAATGCTCTCCTAGCCTCGGTTGACTCGCATACATTTAAAGAGCGCCCTTTCTGTGAGTTTGCACGGATTTCTTCAGGGGAGGGGTCTTTCTGCTGGAGTCTTAAATGACAGTGCTGCTGCTGATGCTGTTGCTGCTGCTGATGCTGTTGCTGCTGCTGCTGTTGCTGCAACAACTGCCTGTGGTCTCGGTGCCCTCCTGCTCCTCCTCCTCCTCCCCTGCAGCGTTCCACGATGCTTGCCTGTTGGTAATTACTGGCACTCCTTCGGAGACGATCCCCCCTCTTAGATTCCCGGGAAAAGAGCAGAGAGGAAGAGGACGACGTTGGTGGCGGCGGAATAGGCGGCGGAATAGGCGGGGAGGGATGAGGTGGGAGAGGCTGGAAAGGATGGGACTGGTTTTGAGACAAGCTCGCCTCCTGCTCTGAAAAACTGCAGTGGCAGCTCGGAAAAACGGGCTGCTTCTCTGACTGCGGCGGCGGAGGCTGCTGCTGCTGCAGCTGAGAGCCGGCCGGGGCCCAGGGATCCTGGTGCAGGTGTGCCGGCTGCCCGGTGTTAGGTTCACTGACTCGGTGTGAAGGTCGCTGGGCGGTGTCGTAGCTCGCCAGAGGTAGAGGGTCGCCGCTGTGAACAGGTCTCCGAGAGGGCTGGCTCAGACAGGGGAGCTCCTGGAGGCTCTGGCGGTGAGCGGCGGTGGTAGAAGTGCGATCTCGGTGGTGAGAAGAGGGCGGGGGCGGCAGGCTGAAAACAGGCGCGACTTGGTCTCGGCTCTGCTTGCTGTTTCCTCGGTTTTCGTCGGGGATTTGGTGCTGATGGACAGCTCCCGCGTACCGATGCCGCATCCCCTTGATCGCCTCGTCTCGCTGTGGTTGCTCCTTTGCCGTGCAGAGCTCCGACACCCGTTCATTGCGATCAGTCCCAGCAGAATAGGACCGACTTGTATCATTGGTAGGTTTGACCAAGACCTGCCTTAAAACGTCACTATACAGCCAAAACACCGCCTTCGACTCAATATCGGTCCATTCCCTGCCATGCGCACAGGTTGCAGCAGATCGATCACTCCCGAGTGTTAAAGATTGGCCTATTACAGGAGCGGGACTATGCAAGAAAGGTGTTTAAATCTCGCACACTGACGGGTCGATCATGTTAAGCCACTGCGGACCTAATGCATCGAGTTTGTCAGTGTTGCCATAACCGCCTTGTATAATCAGAAATCACTTTTTTTACTGCTACGTCACCCATATCCAACATGCCCACATACATCCCGAGCGTCACTAAAATTTATGACCAACTCTGCATGATTGCCTTGTTCGTAAAGTATCCGCATGTTTAAGGGGAAAAAAACACGACGGCAACAATTTGTGTCTGTTTGCACATCACATTTCCACTTGTTGGTCCATGGAAAGCACATAAAATCAACAGGCGTGTAGCCGATTACCTCATGCTATACAGCACAAGCTTTGCAGTATGGAATTTAATAATTCATGTGCATAGTTTTTGTATTACCAGGCAGAAATATTAAGAATGGGTGCTGCATTCAGAGCCCGCAGTCACCTCTCGCAGGCTGCCGTGTGTGACGCGCAGCTCGCAGCTGTTGCATGCTCTCACTGAGACATTGTACAGGCTTCGCTGTCACAGCTGTGAGAGTATCGGTTAGATGGAGACAGAGAGAGGGGCTGGGCGCAGACGGCACTGGTGCTGGAGGAGTTAGGACACGCATTTCTAAAATAGCCTATACTTGCCGGGGTGTCAAGTGGCCAGAGGACTGTCCGTCAAATGTCTGTTAGTGCCATGCAGCCGTGAGGATTACTCATCCAATAATAGACAACTTGAAATACATAAGTTTAGATATATGTATATTTTTAAAGTCTGCCTATTTAAAATAGCCATATGTAGAGATAAAAAGTATTCTACACGTCAATACTTGTAAAACCCTGTTGGCTAAACTGCAGACCTCTTTCTGCATGTCTGTGCCGTTTTCCCAGCTGTGCTGTAACGGAGAGATAGTAATACAAAGAGAGATTTCATTTAATTTTTTTTTAATTGTTGGAAAATACCCCTTTTATTTAGTAGGACCATTACATTTTGTTGCTTTGGTTGGAATTTATTATAGAACTGAGGTCTATTAAGTAAGTATGTGGATTTTCTTCTGCAGCACGTTTAAAGTTTCTCCTTCAGAGGGGCACATAAAAATAGAGTAGCAATAAATTGCAGCATGTGAATGCATTGGGGATTAATCAGTAGAAATAAAGGATTTCAAAGAAAACAAACCCATCGGCCCAACGTGCTTTAATGAAGGCCACTTGCACAGGTGTTGTGCTTCTAAAAGCAGAATCACCGTTTGTCTTGAACCCCTGATTGTGAAACTTCTCGACATTTGATGGTCAGACATTAGAAGTCTTGGTGCAGAATAGGGATAAGAAATAATAGATCAAAGACTGTAACTGTTCTAGGAGTAAGAGATGCCTTTTACAGGACTTTGATCCTATATGCTGTGTGGAAATCTGTCTATTAAATTTGTTTCCTATTGTCCCAGGTAAACAGATTGGTTTAGAGTTGTGTCTGTTCAACTGATTTGTGTTGTAAATCTGGGATTCTACAAGGGTGGAGGGATGTTTTACTTTCTTTCTTTTTTCTTTTGCTTGTTATGCCCCTCTGTGACCCCTACTTTCTTTGTAGAGGCAGCAGAAACTTTTATGGCAGCTTTGAGAATTATTCATCCAATAATAGAAAACTTGCTAAAAAAAAAAAAAAAAAAAGTTCTCATAGATTTTTTTAAGTCTGTCTATTAAAAATACTCCCCTGAAGAGTTCAAGGGTATTCTACTGTATAGTACTGTATAAATTTACCACCCAATTTGTTATGGACACCCATGCTTGTTAATATGAATATCTAACAAGCCAATCACATAGCAGTAACATTTAGGCATGTAGACGACCTGCTGAAATTTAAAGCGAGCATCAGAATGGAAGAGAAAAGTGATTTAAGTGACTCTGAAGTGCTGATCTGTGTGGGATTTCCCCACACAAACATCTCTAGGGTTTACAGCCAATGCTAAAAAAAACAAAAAAAAAAACAGACTGCAATGAGCAGCAGTTCTCTGGGTGAAATGACTTGTTGAGAGCAGACAATCGAAATTATCCAGAAGAGCATCTCTGAATAACACATTGAACCTCCAAGCAGATCAGCTACAACACCTGAAGACCACATCTAGTGAGATGCTTAGAATCAGTAACTGAGGCTACAGTTCATAAGGGCTTGCTGAAATTGCATAACAAAAGACTGAAAACACTGTTTCCAGCCTCAGTTTGTCCTGTACAGTTTGGATGGTAGGGTCGGAATTTGGATTAATCAAATTGAAAGCCTGGATCCGTCCTGTCCTAATGGTTCAGGCTGGCAGTGATGGCGAAATGGTGTGAGGGATATTTTCTTGGAACATTGGGCTCCTTAGTCCCAAGTGAACCTCATTTAAACACCACAACCTGAGTATTGTTACTGAATATATCAATCCCTTCTGACCACGTCTCCTCTGATGGCTGCTTCCAGCAGGATAAATCTCCATGTCACAAAGCTCAGATAATTTTAAATTGGTTTCTTGAACATGACATTGAGTTCACTGTATTCAAATGGCCTCCACAGTCACTAGATCTCAATCCAACAGAGCACATTTGGGATGTTGTGGAACCGGAAATTTTAATCTTGGATGTGCAGCCGACAAATCTGCAGCAACTGTGCGATGCCAATCTGTGGAGCAAAATGAGGATGTTTCCAGCATCTTATTGAATCTATGTCATGGAGAATATAGACAAGTCGTAATGCATTTATTAGGTACACTAGCTAGGTGTACCTAATAAAGTGACCAGTAAATGTATGTGTACATTGAAACTGGTCTTCACAGGGAATTGTTGAATTGAATCAGGCCTGTGGGCTTTGTCCACTTCACAGTCAGTATGCAAAGAGGGTGAGTGAACCTTTTCAGTGTGTGGATATGTGACTGTTGTATTGAAAAAGACTTCTGCATGCTTTTGTAGTTTCATGGTCTGATGGATAGTATGTAAAAGTGTAGGCACAAACAACTCAAACACAGCATTTTAGGCAAGAGAGAGAAGCGGAGACTGAGCCAAAGAGACAGGAGAGGATAGAGGATGGAGATGAAGACGCAGCCAACTTTTACATCATACATTAGCCATTCTTAATAAGTAATAATCCTTCCCTTAAAGCTGGCTCAGCCATTTGAAGGTTTGATGGGTCCGAAGACTGCAGAGGTGGCACACTTTGCCTAACCACTGGAAGAAAGCTGTGGTACACTCTGTTTTATAGCTATGTGAAGTACTGCAGGAATTTGGAGTAGAGCTCTGGCCAAGGCTGCATTAGAAACCTGAGCATTTTCATTAAGTAATTGGTCGCTGTGACCTGTGTGAGTTCCTAAGCAAGATGGAGTTTCATTTGCTAGTTTGGGAAGCAATGTTACTGCTTCCACATGAATAATTAAACCAAACTTTACAACTGCTGGACACACACAAACACCCATCCACCAACCGGCCACACATGCCAAAACCCACACTTTATATCTCAGTTTTCCTTTTTTTTCTCCCTTCCTCCTGGTCCAGACCTGCAAAACAGCATATTGTGTGTCCTCGTCTCTGTCGGCTGCTGTAGGGAGACACTGTGACACTAAAATGGTAGAGGAGGAAACATGGAAGAGGCCAGTGGCTGCAGCGTGTAACACAGGAAGTAGATAAGAAACCTGTAATTACAGAGAAAGAGAAAACCAACCAGGGTGAAGCGGAGAGATGTGTAAGAATTTGTGTGTGCGTGAGAGAGAGGAAGAAACTGATAGTGTGTGCATATGTGAGAGAAACTGGACAGAGAGAGAGATATCTAAAAGAGCAGGTGCACCATCACAGAACAGATCAAAAGAGTTCAATTGAAAAGAAGAGGAAAACAAAAAATGTGCTGCACTGTGACATAAACCAAAAAATGATTATACACAGGTACAGAGATTAGCCATTAGCAAAACACAGGAAACATCCACACTGAAAGACACGTCATACCTGTTTCTAATGTTCTTTGCATCTCACTATGTTTTGTGTAATATATTCAATAGCATTTATTTAATATTAATGTGATAAGCTTTACATTTACAGTATTAGGTAAACTGATGTGACTTTGACTGAAGTGTTTGGCACGACTTGCTCAGAGACACTTTAATTGAGCACATGTGGGGTTTCAAACCAGAGTCCAGCTCCTTGTTACCAGCTGCGACACTATAGCAGGTATTGTTTTCAGCTTGTGTGTCTGTGTTTGGTGTTTGTGTGTGTATACGTGTACTTGTGTCATCACTGCAAAACAGCACTCTGCTCCTGGTGACGTTTACTGTAACGTGAACTAACCTAAAGGTGGTTTTAACTGCTTTAGCATAAAGTACATCTACGAGGGGCTGATTATGCACACCAAAATGGTTTGTACAACAAAGCTGAAGACAAATGGACATCACATCCTCTGTCATAAACTGTCATGCAGCAACTGTTTGAAAAGATTTTATGGAAAAAGCCTTGAAAAAAACAAAAATTCTTCGCTCCTATGCCAGCGTAAATGTGGAGGTATGGTCTGAGTGAGGACACTTGATGTGCACCCTATTTTTTGAAAAAAGCAAAGAAAAAAGGAGAGAAATCACACTGAAGGAAGTCAGCTGTTAATAGAGTTCTTTCAAAATAAAGGTACAACTAACAGGTTAAGAATAGTTTAGCTAAGAGCCGTTTAGGCTAAGGTTTGCTATATAAAGCTTAGCAATACTAACATCAAATAGCATTAAGCTTAACTGTATGTTGGACCAGTGGTTCAACAAACAATGAACTGCTCCTCAAGGGAACAAACCAGAGAAGAAGAAAGAAGTTGGCCTGTGTTGGAC